CTATCAAATAAATATGACCAAATCTATAAATAATATAGTTAATATTTTCTTCTGAGTTTGCGAGCCAAATTTAGAAAATATGCTTGTGAAAATTTACATATAAGATCGACTATGGATAACATTGTTAAAGCACTTTTCGTAAGAATTTTGAAACGATTTGAAAATATGCTTGCATAAACTTAACGGTAATTGATAATATACAGTGATTATTATCGACCATCTAAAATTATTTTATTATAAACTTCCTAGAATACTTCCCTATAAATTTAAAATGTATTGTGCAAACTGTTAAATAAATATGTTTAATAATAAGATCCAGAATGCTTATAATATGATCTAATGCTTTCTTGATTAATTCCCTTGCTTTTCATTTATTGTTCCCATGGCGAGCGGTAAATCTGGTCAACGGCCGATTTTAACGATTTACAGACAAACCCTTATACATTGGCAACAGCACGTAGTTCGTTCGGAATATTGCCGATGATATTATGCGTAGTAAATCTTACACTTAGAAAAATTCTTTTAATAGAATCTATTTCTTCACCGAAAGGTTATAAATAAGCAATTAAACTCCGGAGAAAAATTACAAACAAGGTACCATATTGCCTGTTATTCCTTCTGTTAATGACTGTCGTTAAGAATAGAAAAGAAGGTGCACGACCTATTTTTTTTTCCTCGTGATCATGCGATTTAAAGAAAAAATAATATGGTCTCATTATAATGACCCCCAAAATGAAATAACTTCATTTACGTATACTTAAGACATAATGCAAAATTATGACGAGATAAAGGAAGAGTGAATAAAATGACAAGCTTATACAGTACAGGGCTTTCAATTTAACGTAAAAAATGGTGAAAAAAGGATAATTTATTCATAAAATATGATATCGTATAATGTAAACAAGACGTTCGGTATATATAAAATGATGAAATATTAATATTCAATTCAAATGTTAAGACGAAGAAATTTCTTTTTCATTACTAAATCCACGAAAATATCGTTGCCAAAAAAAATAAAGGAGAAAGACAAACGCATTCCTAATTATTTACAAGAGTGCCTTCAAAAACGTGCCGATCGAGAAACACATTACGACTGCCCGAAAGAAATGGTAAGCTTATATTTTTTGACGATTTTTAATGCACTCGTTACGTATGTGACTTAGAAATCTATGAAACAGAAGCCGAATAATAGTGTTATATTGCGTAAAATTTACGTGTAAACACGTAAACAAAATTTTACTATTCCAATAACTAATGACACTATCGATGCGCAAACATCAGTTTTTATATCTCGTGTTGGGTTCGCGGCGAGTCAGTCGCTAGCACAGGGATAAATTCGCGTAACAATGTCGCACACACACCAAGCGGAAAGAAGTGTTTAGATCTGACCGAGTAAGTACCTCGCGACTTGCTCCTTTTAATCAAACCTTATTTTCTCTTTTGCGACGTGGTTTTGACTAATTTCAATTTGTTTTTGCATGTATTTTACATCCTTTTTATCTAATTTAATCGCTAATATACTTTTGAATCGGCTATCTCGAAGTCTCATATAGCTTATTTCGGCTTACCAGAGCTATTACGAACTAGATAAGTTGATTGTATAGAGTCGCATCTATGCTTGCACGCGCTCACATGTTTCGCGTCGCAACTTTTGGATACAATGTTAACATTCGTTAAAAAAAATCTTCGAGAGACATGAGCGTTGTCAAGAAGCCCGATAATTGGTTCCTCGGAACTTGTGCAGCATTGGTCAAAGAGAGGACATCTTGAAGGGTGGACGCCATGTTCAAATAGGTATTTGGTATAGGAAAAAAATAATCTCGCTATATAATTAAGCTTCGGATCCTTCAAATATCCGCCCGTGTTTCAGATTTTCTTTTTTGATGATCGTACGCAGTTTTTTTTATCGAGAGCTAACCGTATAAAGCAATAGGGAATTTCTTAAAGTGCAATGATCTACAAGACCTGCGAAAATAATGGTCCCCTTTTTGGCAACAATCACTTTAAAGCCGTAAATATTTATACGCACTTTAAATATCCTTCCACAGAGTCTGTTCGTCATTTACCTACTCTTTCAGCATGTTAAAACACGACTGGTCTAATCGTTTTGAAAAATCTATTCAAGATTTGAAAATCGAAAAATTCAAGTACGAGCGGTTAAAGATAGTTCAAAAACTCGGTGACGGTACATTCGGAATTGTACATCGAGCGGTAGACAAGTATAAAAATGATTTCACAATTAAATCGATCAGGATTGATGCTGAAGACGTTATGAGTGCACTTATTAATGAAGTAATTAATTTTTGGATGGATTTTACACCAGACATTTGACAATTTATCCTAAAGTTTACATTTTTTTTAGTTGGAGTTGCATCGGGATGTCTATTTCCATAAGAATATCCTAAAATTCTATGGGATTTGTAAGAGAGGTAAATAATACCTATCTGATTAGTGCTAAATATTTCTGAGATACATATTAATTTTATTGAACTTTATCATAAAAGATAATGACAAAGAATATTTTCTAGTTATCGAATATGCAGATAATGGCACTCTTCGTAAATACTTGCAGAATAATTCATTCATTTGGAATGATAAACTCAAACTTGCCCAACAACTGTCAAGTGCTGTAATGTATTTGCATGATCGCAACGTAATTCATAGAGACCTGGTAATTTAATATAATTAAATGTCAAATTAAACGATATTGAAATAATTTTATTAATTGAATATTTTAATAGCGCTCAAATAATATTCTGGTTCATCAAGGAAACATTAAAATTGCTGATTTTGGATTATCAAAAAAGCTATCGGAAATATCGCCAAGTTATGCCACCAGTGTGCGTAGTGTATGGCCTTACATTGATCCACATATATTGAAGCGCAATCTAAATCAATATTATCGCCGAACAAATAAATGCGATATATATAGTTTGGGCGTTCTTTTATGGGAAATTTCTGCTGGGAGACCGCCTTTTAAAGATCATGGACGTCAGACCATTTATCGAGTAATCGATGGTTATAGAGAATCGAAAATTGAAGGAACACCCGATGAATACGTGAATATATATTCAAGTACGTCATAATCTTTATATGTAAGCGCAATAATTTTGCGTTAAAATTAATGATTTTCTTTAGGATGTTGGAAAGATAACCCTGACGAACGTCCTGATAGCGAAGAGGTTTTTAAAACTCTTAATGATATTAATCAGTCCTCATCAGAACCTAGTTTTATCATTGATAATAATCAAAATGGAAGCATCAATGATAATTATTATAATAAAGACAGCGCTGTAAATTATCAGAAAATTATCGATCTTCAAAACAGCGCCGAAGATCTTTGTCTGGAGGAATCTAGAAATAACTTTCTAGAAGGAACTGTTTCTGAAGATAGTTATTTATCCAGTCGCAAAGCGGGTCTTACTGCAAATATCAGTTTATGTAACAGAATGAATATTCCTTTACAACTACAGTCTGAAAATTTTTACTTCGATGATTTAAAGTTAATAGAATCATTCCAGGTACATCCAACTACCAACAGTGATTTATTGATTATCGAAACAGAAGATCGTCAAGATATTATAAACATAACAAGAGCTTTTGCTAACCAGATATTAAGGTTTGACATAGGCTATATTGTCACTTGCAAGAAATTAAAAGTTCAACTTGTTCCTCCCAGTCAATTGCAGATTGTTTTCGGCGAAATACTTGATTCTTTGAATAATTTTAATCCTATAGAAAATGTGAAGATTGCAATCCTAGAAGTTACTAGTTTTGTTTTCAATCTTCCAGAAGGGTTAACCTTCAAGTTGAAAGAAATCAAAGAGCACAAGATTTCATTTGAATTAGTTCGCAATCAAATCAGCAAACAATTCTTAAAACAAATGCAAGAAGATGTAGTTTCAAAAGCGAGAAAAGAATTTTTAAAATCTTGTTTAGAGGAAAAAGATCTAGACTCAGAGTTTATGAGATTTGCCAAAAAGTTTTTTGGCAGTGAAGATAATTCTATAAAAATGATTTTACAAATATTAGTTAACGATCATGTTGAGAAATTCAAGGAGAACATCGAGAAGATCCTAAATTCCTTTTTAGATAACATTTATTTACAAGTGAAAGAAAATAGTTTTTCTTATAAGATTATTTCTCAATATTCTATGAATTTATTAATAGGTGAATCTCTTTTAGTTAAAACTAGATATAATGAGAGAAGAAACATAGTTTGGATGTTAGATGCCTCATGTGCAGCACTTAGTGAATCTTAGAATGCATTTGTTTCAGAGAAAACTTTATTATGTGTAGCCCTTTGATTTTATTGTGCCATTTGGTATAGCCTATAAATTATAAACTTCGCTTATTTGAGTCACGATTTGTTAGTTGCAAAGATGTGAAATCATTAATAATGAATCGAATATTGTTATGCAAAGTTCACGGATTTAATATTTTTGCAATGTCCGGAGGTCCACTTCCTTTTAACCAATCATATTTAGCCCTATGTGTAATATTGCATTTTGTAAAATACTGTATATTGCATTTGTTACATGTCATTATTTTTCTGCTTATTTGAGAAACAATCATTTTTCTTTAACCTTTCTTTCTTATAATCTTTGACTATGCTTAATATGTTGAAGCCTTTCAAAAGTGAACTGTCTAAGGCAAAGATCATTAAGTGATTATACTCTTGAAACTGTAATGAACAAAAGATCTGCTATAAATTCTTTATTTCCAATATCTATTTTAGCTTTAGGTATAGTTAATTCTTGACTTTTATTAATGATGATAATCCATGAAAAGTGTATAGGAATTTGCGAATACGAATACTGTCCCATTTTTATTTTTCAAATTTATTTAATAGAAATTATAGTTACTACTTTGATACCATCAGTATTAAAAATAGCAAACCCTTTATATTTATTTAAATTGATTAATACAGTTATAGAAGAGAAGATATAACTTGACTTCAAATATAAAAACTTGATTGTTCCCATTGATCTATTAACTAAGTCAACTTATGTCTTTATATTAAATATATACATACACATCTTTTATTAACAATAGTTAAGATTCAAATTTTTTATTATATTAAAATTAATTTTTTAGTATTTTTATTTTCAATATATATTATAAAAATATTAACTATATATTTATTTAATATTTTAAGCTTATCAATATTAATTTAATTATTATACCAGAAAAATTATATAATGGGAGAATTTTGTTGTTCAATATAAGATTAGGCAATCTAATATTTAAGATTTTTGTGAAAATCTTTTTATTTATTTCTACTAGATTATAATGGCTATACTAAAGGTCTCACTATTGTTGAGCTGACAAAATAGTGCTTATATATGGCTTTCCAATTGTATTTATCAGAAACTTTTGAGACTATATATTTCTTTGATATAAATGCAATTGCTCAAAATTGTTTTGCAAAATAATACTTTGTTCTAAAACCTTTTTGGAATATTATTGTTAGATTATTATATATCTTCTCATTCAAATATGTATGTTGTATAATATATTTTATTCTTAGAATCAAGACTTTATTAATAATATAATGAACATGTTTTTTAGTTACCTTCTTCTTAGTTATTGCCTGGATTACTACTCTAATTTCTAATTTTATTAAACCAATCATATTCCAATTCTTCATTTTTGGTCTCAACCAGATAATAAAGAATCTAATTTGATACTTCTTGTTGATTATGTAAACTATAATATTCTTCATCCCAGCTTGAATAATTTCAGGATCTTGAGAATTTCAATTAATAGTGAGAAGAATTGACTTTGTCATATTAATTTATAAGTTATTTACTATGTAAAACTTTTTTACTTCTTTCAAAATACTTTTCAAGTCATTCTTTAATTTGGCAATCCCAGGTTGTATTGTCTATATAGATAATTATTATTTGCTTTAAAAAAAGTTTAACCTTTTTCTCAAGTTTATTAAAATTGAGTGATTATTCTTTTTTTTATAATATAACTCAAATTAGTGTTATTTGAGATAATAATGAAATATAAAAAATTCTTCACAATAGTTGAAAGATTGTTTCTCTATAATTTATATTGTCTTCTACAACTATTGGATTAGAAAGTCTATTAAAAAAATAATACTATAACTTCTATTATTGAAAAGATTTATTGTAATCTTCTTGATATTTAAATATAATCTATAGCTTTTTTAAGTATAAAGTATAATATTATATTATATATCTTAATAGTATTTTGAAAAATGATCTATAATTTTTTTTCTTTTTTCTAGCTTCTTTATAAATACTATTTAATAGATAAATAGTTTTTTGTTATAACTTTATCTGATAGATCAACAAAGTTTGAGTATTTAAGAATTTTGTATTGTTTATATATTATTGATAGATAATTGATAAGGATCTTAATAAAACATTTAAAACTGTTTCTAGAAGAACAATAGGCTAGTATTATTCAGTTGACATTTTCAGAACTTTGGTTTAGAAATAGAATAGATATTATTACTTTTCTATTTCTTAGATATATATACAGTACTGAAAACTTTGTTAAACAGCAAGCAAAAAATCCTTTTTCTTTAATATTTAAATATAACAAGTTTATAAGTCACTTGATGAAAGCTTGAATTTACACTTGAAGGTCAGATAATAAGTACTTAAATAGTCTTAAGAAATATAAGTATTTTGATAAAACAAACATTTCTTTTTAAAATTTGAAAAAATATTATCAAATAAGATTTTGAGATAATCAAAGATTTAAACTTTTAGCTATAAAACATCAATGATTGCTAAGAAGACATATTATTTCAAATCACAAATTAATCACTTATTCTGAAGCTCTAAAATAATATGAGTCTTAAATGACTAATAATATATAGACAAACAAACACCAATATATTTATAATAATAGTTATATTTGATATTAATGGATAACAAGAAATGTTATAGATGTATTTATATTATAGATATACTTGCTTAGTATTATATTTTATTATAATAGTTTTTTTTTTTTTTTTTTTTAACTGGCATATACAAGTCTACTTTATTTGAATTTTTTTATATTATAGATATTTGAATTTACAAAGTTATTTTATCAATACTTTTCTCTGTGTCTATTTACAAAATTTTACAAAAAAGTCAATTGTGCCTTGATATCCTTGTGGCTTGTTGCTTCCTTGAAGGAGAGCTAACATGCCTAGGCTCCATTAGCATGCCTTGATGAAAATAATGAAAATGTCATGTGCACCTTTGATGATTGCAGTTAGAAGATCAGCTGGTATTTCTAGACTGATATCATTTGGTCTTTGATTGTTGTTGTTGATTTTTTTTTTCTTGTTTATATTGTTGCGTTTCTTTTGTCAATTGATGTTTTGTGATGCTTCCTATATATAGAAGTGAAAATATCTGTTACTTCATATTGTTATGGGTCATGTGGGTGATGCAATTTACGTGTAATGGTCTAGAATCCAAAAACCTGAAAGTCTGGCATGAAAGATTGAGTGTCGCAAGGTAAGAAACTATAGATA